ACCCAGGGTTCCTCCTTCTGCCCAAGGCCAGGAAGAAGCCCTTCCAGCAAGATGGAAGGCCTTCACAGTGACTTCTCAAACCCTTCTAGTCTTCATAGCTCCATGTGTGAGCTCATCACCCTAGCAGAAGAGTGCCCTTGAATGCCTGGGTTCATACAGGAGCCTAGGGAGGGATTTTCCAGAATTTCCATTTGTTATCTTTATTCATGCAGTAAACCTTGATTGCTGAGAGACCCTAGCAAATCATTTCCCTACTCTGAATTTCCATGTCTGTCTCCAAAAGATAAAAAGTAGCTGCACTGAGAGGGTCAAGTGCTTGTGCATGTGTAAGATACTCTTTAAGGGAGGAAGGCGGAGCAATCCAGGTTTACAGGCTGAGTAGGACACAAGTACACAAATACTGTACTACAAGGTAGAATGTGGTAAGGGTCATCAGGGTATAGAAGGCCAACCTAGCGGCAAAGTGTAGTTTCTTACACGTGGAATAGGTTTGGCAGGAGGAGCTCTGGAGCCAAGGCTCCATATCCAGTCAGGATGGCCTTGGTCCGGCTCCGGGGGGATTTTCCCCTCACCAGGAGCTTCCTCCCTGCCCTCCTAGGGCCACCTGGTCAGTCAGTTGAGTATTTCACATGTACAGGGCGCCCAAAGTGCCAGAGAGGAAACGCCACACGGTCTCTGCCTTCTGGGAGTTTATGGTTTGTTTGGAGATACACAAGCGAATGAGAAGTGCTGCCAGGGAGCACGATCCCTTCCCTGGTGTCAGAGCTGGTTCCAGGAGCCCCGAGCACTCGGGCAAGCCTTCACGTGCTTTATTTTCTAACAGAAGAAGTGGCCTATGGATAACACCTATTCTACTCGGTAGAATGCAGTAAGTGGCTTAAGAGAGCCGAACCTGTTTCTCACCACGTTCCTAGGAGGATCATTTGCTGGAAGAGTCAGGCCGGTCTCCCTACAGGAGGCAAGTCTGGAGCCAAACTCGGAAAAATAGTTGAGGGGGTTGGGAGGATGGCACCCTTAGAATAACCCGGGAAGCCAAAGGAGGTGACCCATTGGCCGTGCCCCAGGCAGGAATAGGACCTTCCTTGCAGCAGAGAATAGACAATAACTTGTGAAATTGCTGTTTCTGTGTGAGAGCCTGCTAATATGCGAGAGAGGGTTTTGCATATATTATCTCTAATCCTTAAAACCACTCTTCAAGGTAGACACAACCCCCACTTTACAGATGAAGAAATGAGGTTAGGAGAGGATTTGCCCAAAGCCACAAAGCTAGTTGGTGGGGCAACCAGAAGTCAGACCCACGTTCGCCTGGTTCCCCTCCAAGTGTGAGCCTGAGAAGAATTTCAAGAAAGACAGAGGCTCCCACCCAAAACAAACCAAGATGGACCCAGAACTGCCGCTGCCGGTCCTCTGCCTCATGGGCGCCCCCCCTGCACAGCCACTCCCAAGCTCTTCCTGATCTGGTACAAACTCCCCATTGTTCCACTTAACTTGGCCCGCCTGGTGCCCCACCCCCTACCTCCTCCATCCCAGTTCCACTCACACCTAAAAATGATCTCCCCACCCCGACCCCCACTTTTGTCTAGCAGAAGGCCCGAGACATGTATGCAGAGGAGCGGAAGAGGCAGCAGCTGGAGAGGGACCAGGCTGCAGTGACAGAGCAGCTGCTGCAAGAGGGGCTCCAGGCCAGTGGGGATGCCCAGCTCCGACGGACGCACTTGCACAAACTCTCAGCCAGACGGGAAGAGCGGGTCCAAGGCTTCCTGCAGGCCTTGGAACTCAAGCGGGCTGACTGGCTGGCACGTCTGGGCACTGCATCAGCCTGAGTGAGGCTGGCCTCCTGCCACTTTGCCCTGCCCTCTGCCTCCAGGGCCCCACTCCCCTCTCTTTTCTTGGTGAAAGGCGTCTCCCTCCTAATGATGAATTGTGTTTCCTTTGCTTGGCAGGGGAGCCCCAGAGGCCAGGTCTGCTGGCCGTAGATACACCTTTTGGACTGCCTGGGACAGTGGCCCCTGGGGAGGGTTGAGGTGCGAGTCTCCCATAAGTACACTAAAGCCAGCTCTGGTCACCCGTAGGTTTGGAGAGCAGGGAGTCCCAGGTCTTTGCTGCCTGTTCCTTCCACCTCTGCCACCTCTACGTGTGCTCCTAGATGCACTTTATTTTTTTACCAGCACATCCTTCAACACACAGAATTTCAGGGCAGAGGTCTCCCCAAAACCCTAGCCCTTTACCCTTCCATCTTAACCTTCTACCCGACTTTGACAAAAGATTTGGCTCCACCTTGGATCTGCTGGTAAATAGCTAATAGGCAGCCAGCGTTATTTGGGCAAGGAAGAGGAGGGAGAGACAGAAAGAAAATTTGCCCATCTGCTGCTCCTCCCCCTGGGCTCTCCACCTGGGATTTGCTATTGAATCTCTACCCCCTCCCACCACACAGTACTGATTGCTCACTGAAAGGCTCAGCGCCCCCAATGGCGCGCGGAAGCCAGGCGGGTGATTACAATCCAATTACCTATTGTCGACTCAGCCCACACAAGCTTTTCTCCTCCTCTTGCAGGGCATGGGGCCAGGCTCCACGCCCCTGTGAGACCAGCCCCCTCCATGACTACAGGGTAACAGAAGGGCCTGTAGGCCCTGGTGAATCTAATCCACCACAGGCCTCCTTCCCTGGAACGCGTCACAGGACCCAGAGCACAGAAACAAGCACTTCTCCCAACTGACTGACTGCCGTCCTCACCATCTCAGACTCTGCTTCCTACCGCCTCAGTCTTTGAGGCTTCTCTGTTCTTGACCTGGCCCCCTAAGTAGCCCCTGAGACTGATTTATTCTCAGCGCAGTGGAGTCTCCGCTTCTTAGGGCCAACTCTGCCCAGCAGGGAGAAGAGGACCAAGTCAAGGGCCATGTCCTTTCCCTTACCTCTCCCTGCCAGGCCTTGCTGCAGAGCTGCTGAGAGGATTAGTGCCTTTGAAGGGCCGTCTGCCTGAGCAGCTCTGCTTCAGGTGCCCAGAGCTGCAAGCACCAGCCTTTAACACCAGCCAAACACCACTCTGTTTAGTCTTCCCATTTTACTTTCTGCGAACTGTTTCCCCAGCACCTCCCTCTAGGGGAGAGGTGGGGTCTTGCAAGCAGTGCTCCCAGCAGTCTTTAAACCCCTAACTTCCCTGTATTCCAGTCTCCTCTTCCCCTTCCTGTGCCAGGATACCTGGCACAAGAGACCCATTGGCCATCATCCCTGCTCCCAGAATCAGGCAGAAATGCCAGACACTGCGATTGAGAAGCCAATCAATACACCCTTTGGCAAGCCCCCCCCACACACCTGGCATTCCCCACAACCAATCCCTGGCACAGGGTTCCCAGAGAGCAGGTGCTGTACATTTTCCAGCTTTACAATGGGGCTGTTGACAGCCTTAATTAGGGAGGCATGAATTATGCGGCTGTAATGCAGAGCCCTACAATTAAAGCGGGAATGAGGGGCTGGAGGCAACAAACGGAATCTGCCCAGTGAGCCTGGCTATTGAGTCCTGTCTCCGTTCTGTTTCTGACTTTCCCTAATATGACTGAGGTACAGCAGAGATGATTAATGGAGCTGGTGTCTCTCTTTGGCTTTAGGTCCTGTATCCTGGAGAAGGTACACAGAGTGGGATGGGTAGGGGCTGAGGGACCACTACTGCCAAGGTGCAGGAGCTGCAAATAGTTGATAGGGACTCATTGTGATTGCTTTCTACCCGCAGGATTTGTACAGACCGGCTCAACCCTTGCCTCAGGAAAGTAGGTGGGACCTATTTAAATGTCCTCTTACCTGTGAGCCAGTCCCCCACTTGAGGATATTGTGTTCTTGTGTTCTTCTGGGTTTCAAATAGAATTTTAAAAATTCTTAGATGTAAAACTTGTCTACAAACAGTACAACAGAAGAACACCTGGTTTTGCGGCTGCAATTGTCTGCTTTTCCTCAGGTGCGCTTGGCTACCTCCAGGATCCCCAGCTTTGGGAAAGTGCGGGGTGGGGGAAGCCAGTGGAAAAGCCCTTTTGCCATCGCAACACCTGTTCCTCTACTTGTTTCCTGATCCCCGGTCGCTTTCCTCCACCCTTCTTGTCCTCCCGCAAGTGAGAGGAAGCCAGCCTGCCAGTGTGGAAGGAGGGATTTCGCCAGCTGCGTTTGCAGCGCCCGGGCTTGGTGGCCGCGTCGGGTGGGGGCAGCTGAGCTTGATGTCTCCAGAGCGGGTGGAGCGTAGGGGGAGGGGAGTGCTAGTAGGCCTAGGCGGCTGCTCTCCATCATTCTGTGGCGGGGTTCCGAGGTTCGGGAATACAGGGACCTAAGGGAGCCCCTCGACAGGCTTTGAGGTGGGGGGGCTTCGTTGGCATTTGGGGAGGCGGCCGAGAAGCGGGTGCTGAAAGGACAGCTCCTACCTGCCCCACTGCACCCGAAAGGGACCTCTGCGTGTAAAGTCTCCCCACCTCGAACCCTCACCCCACCTCGAGCGGAACGCCTTCCAGGTGAGGAGCACGAGAGGATTCCTCGGAGTGGCAGCTTGGAAGGATGCACGTCCGGCTGCGCCAAGCTGGCTTCCCCGCTCTTTCCCCACTTCAGCGTCCGCCTTGGCCCTGGGAATTGCAGCCTGTGCCTCCACGCCGCGCGCTTCCTCCCGCCTCTGGCGGAGAAGGGCGGTGCGGCCAGGCCTCGAAAACCCTTCTTCTGGGGCCCCCAGCGGGAACAGGAAGGAAAGCGGCCGAGATGCGCCCTAAGTGTCGCATGGCTTGGAGAAGTGGGTAGCTGGGTTGCATAAGGTGGAAGGAACTTGGTAGTTTGCAAAAGCCAGCTCTTGGCGGGAGCCGAAACGCAGAGCCCGCCGACTCGCGCACACACACATATACACATACACACATACACACACACACACACACACACCCTCGTTTATTGCCATCGACGCGCGCCTCCCCCCACTGCGCCCCCACCCCCTAGGCGCGCCGCCGTCTCGCGCGCCCTTCCCCCGTACCCCCCTCCTCACTCCCTCCAGAGGAGGTGAGTTTAAACCCCGCCCACGTGACCCCAGCTGAGCCAATGAGCGGCGGCGGGAGGTGAAATCCGGTTCTAACCGGTCCGGGGCTCCCAGCGCTATAAAAACTTTATAAACCCCCCGGAGCCCGAGCAGTGTGAAGAAGAAGAGGCGAGAACGACCCCCGGACCGGCCAAAGCCCGCGCGCCGCTGCATCCCTGCGTCCAGCGCTTACGTCCCGCCGCCGTCGCCACCATGCCCAAGAGAAAGGTACGTGGCGCGAGGGGCCCAGGCGCTGGGCCGCCACTACCGCCGCCACTACCGCTGCTGCCGCCGCCGCCGCTTCCCCGGCTTCGCGACGCGAGCATCGGCGCCGGGCTGGAGCAGGCTCAGACGCCCTGCACAGGGGCTCGAGGCGGTGTCAGACTGCCCCGGGCTAACCCTGCGCGTCTCGGCTGCCCGCGGGCGCCAGAGGCCATATTGGAGGAGCGGCGGCCGCGGCGGGAGGAGCCATGTTGGCGGCTGTTTATCCCGCTCCCCTCGGGTTCGATGCGCCCGCCCCGCGCCCCCTCCCCCATCGCCGTGCCCCCTCCCCTCCCCGCGGGCGGGCAATTCAAACCCGAAAGGGCGGGAAGGCGGCGCTCGGGCTTGGCGGGCGGGGGAGCGCGCTGCCGCCAAAAAACCGCCGCCGTGAGGGGGCGGGGCCCGTGTCCCTTGGGGCGGGGCTTCGCTGTGTGGCCCCGCCTCCGCCCACGGCCCCGGCGCACGGGACTCGCGCCGGTACGCGCCGCTGCCGCCCACGAGTTCCCCCGGCTGCGCGCGCCTCCAGTCTCCCGCCCTCGACGGCTGCCATGGTAACGGCGCCCGGGCCCCGCCTCCGGAGCGGTTTGTTTGCACCATCTGCAGCTGTTGCTTCTGCCTGGCGCGGCGGCGAGGGCTGCGCTCCTCCGCGCTCCTCCGCGCTCCTCCGCGCTCCTCCGCGCTCCTCCGCGCTCCTCCGCGCTCCTCCGCGCTCCTCCGCGCTCCTCCGCGCT